TCACAGCCATAGCAGGAAGGGTAGCTTCCAGTCCCTTCCCATGAGCATGCACTCTGACACCTGAAGCAGAAACTGCCGAAGCCTAGACTCTCATCTTAGGTGAAGGAAGGAGCTGCCAACCTAAAGGTTTGCCCGGGATGTCGGCCTGGTCCTAGATGCCAAACTGGCGTCCTATCGCTCTCTCGGGGAAATAATAAGCATGCTTGTTCCAGGTCATTTAACCCAACAGCTGAAATTCACTAGGGGAATGCTGGTTAAACTGAACTGTAGAGAATAGTGAGGTGAGTGTTAATTTTGGATGATTTAGGGGAGTGGTGGTCTAGTAACGTAGAGGAATATGGCGAATTCAACAGTAGTCTGAAGGCACAGGACTCCAGGTGGGGCAAAGGGGTGGTGAGAAGGTGCCAACACACCTGCTCTGCCCTCCTCCTCCAGGTGGGGAGGCTGTGGCCTCCTTCTTCACCTACTCCTCAGCTGGAGGAACAGGCAATCCATTGCTGTGTATTAATTTCAACTCATGAACTGGTACAGAAAAATGTGGATCACAGGGCAGGCATGTACACAGGGGCTCTGCCTTCTTGCTCTGGCCCAGGCCCATACTCTTGGGTGTTCGGGGACTGAGGAAGAGAGGGGCAAGCCAAGGGACCCAGGATAGAGAAAGAAGGAATAGATGAGGCCTTAAATGCGAGTGTATTCATAGTCATAGTTTTATTTATCCTTAACCTTTTTTTCAGTTAAATGTTGAGACAAACTAATAAACTATTAATATAAAAAGGTTAATTTATTTGTACAATGCCTTTGGAAGGTGCTGATTTTTTCTTCATTCACAGAAAGATTTGCTTTGTTGTGTAGGAAAAACCCGAGTTAATTCATCCTGGGTAGAAAGGGTCACCTATCCTCATCACCCCATTAGGATACTTGACAATAATTCACAGATCTTTGGGGATAATCAGCAGACTTTCCAGCACTGCCTGGACTAGTGATAAACACTGTATTTAAAAAACAGTGTAACTGTTACATGGTTCCCTCAGGCAATTAACCTGTGTTGCTTGCTATAAATTGCCCTGCTTCTATCCCCATAGAATAAGTATTTGGTCTGTCTGCTCAAAATGGTCATGTCTTTTCTTCTTCCCTCTAGGTAGGTCACTGGATTCCTTTGTGAACCGTGGGCATCAAACAGCCATTCAAAAAGACTACATACGTGTAAAATGCAGCTCTTAATATTTCTCTGGAGCATTGAGTCATACTATAGAGAATTATAAAATACTACCAGAAAAGGGCACTTTACATATCATAATAGTCATTTTATAAAGTTCAGTTTGGCAATTCCAAGCCACATTTAATTTTCTCTGAAAATTCCCACGTGGCAGGAAGATATTGCTCTTTGTGGCTTTCCTCTCTGTTTCAGGGAACTGGAAAAGCGACCACCTTTCAGAAGTAGCACTTTTTCTATAAATAGATGCTAAATTACTTATACCAAATGAAGTCACATATTCATTTACATTAAAATAAATACCAAAATAATAAGTAATTTTCCTATATAACCATTCTGGGATTTGTGCAAATTAGAATTGTGCATTCTAGCTTAGTATCACTTAGAATCACTTGTAATTCTACATCTTCGCTGATAGGTGGAGCTAGTAATTTCTGTATTAATTATAATATTTTAGCATATTAAAATCTGTATCTAGATGAAGCAGATACTTCAAAGCTTCAAAACTGATGAAACTGCATACTTCTCTTTCAAAGGATGAACTCATTTGCATTAATATGTGAAATACACTACTAAAACAGCTCTTACTGATTTCATGTGCTTTGTAGGGAGTTAGGCATAATTTTCTGAAAATTAAAAGACTGAGAATCAGATAGTTATGATGATAAAAATTACATCTCAAGAACTGTTAAAAACTTGGAAGATTGTCCTAAGATGAAATTTTTTATTCAGTTCAACAATTATTTAACACATACTGGAGGTAAAATAGTAATCAGACAATCACCAGCACTGTAACAGTGCTCACTGAAAATCTTTGTAAACCTACATTATGGAATTCAAATGAGAATTAAGTGCAGTAATATGGGAAACTGCTTTGTAAATAACAGGTCACAACCTCACAGATGTTGATTATTTAAGATGACATGGTATAAGACAATAATCCTTATATTTAGATCTGGGGACAAATTCTCAGGAGTCCACAAAGTCTCCATGTAAATGTGTTTTTGCTGGAGTTTTTAAATTTTTGTTTTGTTTTTATGTTGGTGTTCATCTTTTAAGAAGTTCTCCTGGGTCATTTTGAGCCATTTGAACATCCTCCTGATAACTGCCACGCAACGTGTGTGTTCAGTGACGGAATCAGTGCCAGGTAATTCAACTTCAGTTGTTTCTGAGCTAATGAAGAGTAATACAAGCAGACTTATTATGTAGTTTCTATGTTCCTCTAAGAGAAAGGCAAGAGACAATGGCAACAATTCTAAACAAAGATCTGGTGTTAGTTTGGATCCAGAAAACTGATGAGAAAATCCAATCATTACATGCTATCCAATCATTACACACCATCACATTGGTACTGAACTCTTTACTAAAGAATCCTGCCAGCCCTGGCCGGTTTGGCTCAGCGGTTAGAGCGTCGGCCTGCAGTCCTGAGAGACCCGGGTTCAGTTTCCGCTAAGGGCGCGTACCTCGGTTGCAGTTTGTCCCCGGCCCTGGTCGGTTGTGCAGGTGGCAGCCACTCGATGTGTCCCTTTCACATCGATGTTTCTCTCTTTCTCTCTGTTCCTCTCTCTCCCTCCCACTCTACCTGAACAAAAAATGGAAAAATGTCCTCGGGTGAGGATAAAAAAAAAAAAAGAATCCTGCCAATTAAGAGCAGTGACTTAACATCATGTATCATTTGTGTTGGATTTTCAGCCTCGCATATACTCATATGCTTGTGTTTTAGTTAGTCCTATGAGAACTGTAAACTTAAGTTTATACTCAAATTTATATTCTATATATTTAAATAACATTATAAAATTAATATACATTGATTTAATAATTAACTTTTACAAATTTAATACTTGAGGGGTATGGCCCAGGAGATCAGAACTCAGAAAAGATAGAATCCAGGTAACCCCTTTACTCTGCACTTCGCTCTGCATCCTGGGCAAGTCAAATGACCTCATCTCTATTTCTTCACAGTAAAGTAAGGATAATAATCTCAACTACATAGGACCATTGTGAGGACTACATGAAACAATGAATATAAGTGTGAATGAATGCCTTCTCAGGTATAGTATGTTTTGGTTACAATAAGGGCTCTGAATCAAGAGTTTAGCCTTTCAACCTACATTTCTATGCCACCTTGGGCAAATCATCTTACCTCTAGGGAGTCATATCCCAATTTTCTAAAGCTAGGTGTGTCACATTATCTCCCAGTCTCTTCTAAGATAGCTATAACAGAAGGTGGTGGGGTCTTCCATATAATACCCAGTTATTTGGTTGTCCATTAGTTTTATTTTAAACGTACTACTCTGAGAAATAAAAATAAAAAAATTAAGATTCGCATGTAATAATGCAGCAACTTACAAAAAACAATAGCTAAACTCTCCTATCAGAGAGATTTTGATATGTTTTTGCTTTGTTGTGTTCTCTGATATAATGGAGAGACAGAACTTATACTTGATTCTTTCTGTACTTGGATGTAACATCCTAGGCAAGACAAATGACCTCTCCCTACTGAATGCACTGCTTAAAAAATAGGCTCTGGATACAGACTTGTGGATTCAAACCCCAAGTCCACCACTTGTTAGCTGTGCAGCAGCCTAGGGCAAATTGCTGAACCTCTCTAAGCCTTATTTCATATTTTGTAACAGTTAATGAGATAAGTTATCTCTTATAACTGTGAAGCCTGGTACTTTGGGAAAAGCTCAATGAATGCTAGCTATTATTAGTATTATGTTCCGGGTTTTGCAAGGAGAGGTAAATACTTGAAGCATGAAGGGGCAGTAAGATAATTTGGGGAAGGTAAACAAGGAGGGGCACCAATACTCAATGCATAAACAGATGAATAATGCAAGTCAGGAAGTCTAGATTGGATATAGATTCCACAATTATCTGGCTTTGTAAATTTCATTGTTATATCACATCTCTTAGTTTTTGTTTCCCCTGCTTTAAACTCAGGCTAGTAATACTTATTCTATTTATTTCACAAGACTGTTAGTGAAAGGTTCTTAACAAATATTCAATATACACAAAACACTTCCTAAAATCTAAAATGTACTGAAAAAGGCTGTTTTTCCTCATTGAGTGGATACATTTTGATGGGGCAGAACAGCTAGATTCTACTGTGCTGATAGTTTAACCCCTCGGGGCGTTAAATAATTATTGTAGCAACAGCCATCACTGGTTGCAGGCTTATCATATGCCATTGCAATACGTTCTGAATTCGCACACCAGGCGACCGCTCTCGTTTAGTGCTCACAATTTTAAAGCAGACATTCTGTCCACTTAACAGATAAGAAAAACTAAGGAGGTTGTGAGAAGTTAGAAACCTGTCATCCGGCTCTGCAGTGCTGAGGTCCTAAAAACATCTAACCATAAGAGAGAATTGTTAGCAACCAATAGTTTTGCCTCTAATCCTCTAATCACCAGCTTTTCCGCAACTATTCACAGTAGGGAATTGGGAATGTCTATCAGCCAGGAGCCAGGTGTACAGCAACCCTGGCTGACTGCGGGGCTCCAAGCATCCTCAGATCCGCCCCTCCGGCTTCCCGCCCAGGCCCCGCCCCGCCCGAGAGGCCACGCCCACAGGGTTCGTCCTTTGCCCTCAAGTGTGGAAAAACAGCGTACACCCAGCTTGAATCGAATTTAGCAAGACGTAGCGCATGCGCCCTGAGAGCACCCGGATTTCCTGTCCGCGCTCTTCGGTTCCGACAGCATATTGCCGACCAATGAGGTGGACGCGGAGGCGGGCCATAGTTCTCCAGGCTCCTCCTCCGCCGGGTGCGTTCTGAGCCGTGGGCAAAGGGCCGGCGTGAGGCCTGTGCAGCCCTGCGGTGGCTCATGGCCGCTTCCAGGGCGCGCAGTACTTTCCGTCTCCCGCCGTTGCCGACGATTCGAGAAATCATTAAGTTATTCAGACTGCAAGCGGCGAAGCAGCTCTCCCAGAATTTTCTCCTGGACTTGAGGCTGACAGGTGGATACCTTATCAGTGCCCCGCGCTGTGTCCTCCGCACCCCGGGGGCGTGGGACGCAGGTCTCGCGCGCACGTTGCGGGCGGGTGTCCAAGATCAGGCACAGGTGTACAACCGGCCCTTAGGACCTTCCGCCGCTTTGTACTAAGGAACTCCGCGCCCGGCACACGAGTGGAGCGCCTTGTGCGCTCGGGGTCCCGCGCTCGGGCGTGCGCAGGCCTCGTGCGCGGGCGGCGCCGACGCCGAGCGGACCTCGGGAGGAGGGGCGTGGCGGGGAAGGCGGTGGTGGGCGGTCCATCTGCGGTGTGTGGACGCGGAGATGCTGCTGCACGTGCTGGCTAGTTGACTTTCCACGCAGTTATCCGAGTTGAGATTAGGGCAGGGATTTTATCAGTAACTTGTCGAAAAGGAGTGTCACTTGTAGGATCCGTTATTTGTTGCGTCCTAGAAGCCCTCCAAACACCCTTTCGGTAAATGAGTGTCACAAGCCCTGTGCTGGCGTTGGAGCTGCTTGGTCGGAGGCCCTCAGGGAGCTTCCAGTTAAGTAAATTCCATTCACACTCCTGCACAGTAAAGGTCACCAGTTTGAAGTGCACAGTTGGACGAGTTTTGCGAATGTATACATTCGTTTAACCACTGCCACCATTTCTTTCTAAAGGATGAGGCTGCAAGAATAAGGTGTATTACAAATGTGTCCACTGTTGAGCACTTACTGTTTTTAAGGTTCTGGTGTTTCATTCCATTTGGCCCCTCTTTAGAAGCTGAGAGATCAGTATATGGCACCAAAAAAATTCATTTCAGTTCAATGAAGTACAGTCCACGAAGCACAATTAAGATGTTTTATTTCTCGGACTTGGAGACTTTATTCTGCCAGTAGCAATATGACTTTGGGTAAAATAGCATAACTCTGCTTCAGTTTTTTGATCTGTTAATTGGAGGAAGGTCCTACAACAAGAATTTAAAAGGTTACCCACCTCTAAAGTTCTCTAGTTCTGGTAGTAACCAGAATCAGTCTTTGCCAGTCTAGGTATAAAGCACCATTCTCAGGACTGAAAATACATATATATTATATATATATATATATATATATATATATATATATATATGTATGTATATGTATATTTTTAATGCCTTCATATGTATTTTTCCCATTGAGCTTTTTGTTCACCCTCAGGAATAAATTCCAGAATCTAGATACAATTCTCTCTTCTATGGGAACCAAACTGAAGGGAAATTAAGGTCCTTGTCTGAGGTAGAAGCAGGGCAAGATTGAACTCAAGCTTAGTGGGCTGACTGTGCCTCTTTGATGGCAATTATATACACACACACACACACACACATATATATATATTAATCCTCACCTGAAGATATATTTTTTTTCCATTTATATTCAGATAGGGAGGGAGGGAAAGAGAGAAACATTGATGTAAGAGAGACACATCAACTGGCTGCCTACCAAACGACCCCGACCAAGGCTGGGGACCGAACCACAACCCAGGTACAAGCCCTTGACCAGAGTCAAACCTGCGGTTCTTTGGTCCACAGGCCAGCACTCTAACCCCTGAGCCAAACTGGCCAGGGCTGATGGCAGTTACATTTGAATGTGTCTGAATAGTCTGAGAACAGAGTCACTGACCTGTCCACTTTTAAAAAGCTCTCCACTTTTAAAATACTAAATTCACTCTGTAATGCCTGTGCTTACTGTATCGTCTCTGCTCCCTGTAAGAGGCATTGGTCTGTGTCCGAGGAGGGATTGGCTTTAGAATTTACACCTGAGCTGGAGCCCCTTCTCCACTCGCTCTCTAGGTGACCTTGCCCGAAGAAACCAGACGGGAAAGGAGAAGTTCGGAGGAGTTCAATGGGATAGTTAGTGTGTTTCGAGGATTTGTTGTGAGACAGCATATGAAGCACCTGTGTCAAACAGACCCAGTGTATGCTGAGTCCCTCCCTGCACCATTCATAGACAAATCTATTTTTAGATGGTTGAGAGATTGTTTTTCCTTTAAGCCTACAAAGGTAGGTTCTCAATAACAGAAGCAAAAATGGGACTATCCAGTGTCAGTGAACACTGCCAACAGAGTGCTTATATGTTTTCAGTGAGTAGGTTTCCACTATTCTAGGAGGCCCAGTTGCTTGAGTATTAATAGGCCAGTTAGACCAGCCCATTGTATGTTTTTTTTCAGAGTGATGATTGGTTGCATTGATTGAATCCTCAGTAATCTGCTTTTGCATGATTTGTTAAGGTCAGCTAACATAAAGAAGCAGATTAATTTTTTTAATTAACTTTTCTGTATCAACTTGCATGCTTGGAAAACTTAAAAACCTCCACTGCTAAATTAAACTAAAACTGAAAATGACCGAGAATCCCAATTCCTGCAAGTCTTATGATCTAGGAACTTTGTCGCACTGTCCAGCAACCAGATGTCTAGAGGTACAAATGGAGACTGCTAGCACTTTTTGCTTCTGGGTCTTTAAACAGCAACAATGAAAATTCTGAGTGTAAAACTAGTCTTGTTCATTCAAATATTTCATGGTCAACAATGTTGAAAAGTGGTGCCTGCTTATCCAGCCCATTTTTCTTATAAATTGATTGGTTTGGAGGAGGAACATAAAATACAATATTAGCTGAATTTAAGTTAAGGAAATTTGTCACAATAATCCTATTTTTGTTAAAGGACTGGTACTTTTCACCACTGTTGCGGGAGAATGATGAATGGCCACTCTGTGTTGGTTTAGGCTGAAAGTCAAGTAATTGGATTAATGTTGTGTCTGAAGAATTAGTTGATTGAGTAATGGCTGATAAGAATTTGTATTGATTATGTTTTTAATTCCGTAGGAAATTTGCCAAGATAATCAGGATAACTAGAGCTTTCTTTTCTCTAGATAAAATTGTGAGGAAAGCTGGCAATCTGACCAATGCCTACGTGTACGAAGTGGGCCCTGGGCCCGGGGGAATCACGAGGTCCATCCTCAATGCCAGCGTTGCTGAGCTGCTGGTGGTTGAAAAGGACAGTCGCTTCATTCCTGGGTTACAGGTGAGATACTTAAAGTGCCTTTTTAAAACCCCAATTTAAAGCTTTAGGCCGTGACTCTTAAACCCCACGGTACACAGGATTAAATGGGTGGCAAATCTCCGGGCCCCATTCCAGAGATTTTCATTCATAGTCAGGAGAGGCCTAGAAAGCTGCATTTCTAACAAGCATCCCCATGTAGTCTGTTGATCAGGATCGAAGAAACATGCTAAAATAAAAATTAAAATGCTGTTTTGCGTCACCTTTAAAAAAAAGTTAGTATCTGTGTGTGTCATGGCCCAGTCCTTTAAAAATAAGTAATGGTAATAATGACTCAGCATGACTTCTGAGAACTTCATTTAGGTTGAGAAAATCATTTCTACAGGCAGAAGTTGGAGAAGACTGGCTTCATTGAGGGACTGATTGTTAAGCTTAGGCATTAGTAGAAGATAATTTTTAAAAAGTTTTTTTTCCTTTATTGATTTGAGAGGGAGAGAGAGAGAGAAACATCAATGAGAGAGAACATTGATTGGCCACTTCCTGCATGCCCCCCACTGGGGATCGGGCCCACAACCTGGGCATGTGTCCTGACTGGAAATAGAACCAGCAGACCTCTTGGTGCATGGGTCGTCGCTCAACCACTGAGCCACACCGGCCAGGCTAGAAGATAATTCTTTAAGTGAAGGAATAAAGTGGTACCACTGTGCGGATAGATTCAAGATGAGGTGTGAAGAAAGTGATGTGTGCATCTTCCCAATAGTCAGTACTGTTATTATATGAGAACTATTCGAAGGAACTGGGCACATTTCAACTAGAGAAGAGAAGCCTTGAGTGAGAGCAGTCAGGGCGGCCTAGCAGAGGTTGGTGGGGAGAGGATAAACTTGTTCCAGTCTTCTCAATGAAAGAATTAAAGCACATAGGTGGGGAGTGAAGATTTAAAATAAGAAGAGACAGGTAGCTCAGTTGGTTGGAATGTTGTCCTGTGCACCGGAAGGGCTGCGGGTTCGATTCCCAGTGAGGGCACATACCTAGGTTGCAAGGCACTTACAGGAGGCAGCTGACGGATGTCTCTCTCTCTCCCTCCCTCTTCTCTTTTTCTTCCTCTCTCCCTAAAAATCAGTAGAGACATGCTCTCAGGTGAGGATTAAAAAAATATAATAAGGGGACATACATTCCTTAAAAGTTGGCAAACAGTGGAACAGGGGTCTCGTAAAGGGAATTCTTCATCAGAGGCACTTAAAGACTGAAGGGCCTTTGATTCCTCCCTGATTCTAACACTTTAAAAGAGCCTTCAGTGATTTATTAGGTGAGTCAAACAGAATAGTCTAATTATCTGCACTATTATTTTAATACAAGAGGAAAACTTGGTTTAAAATTCGTACATTCTAATACTTGTATGTGCATTAAAGGAAAAATGTTTAATTTCTGCCAGAACAGTTGGAGAAAATTTGTTTGAAAATCTAGGACTTTGTGTGCATGAATGTGATTTTTTTTTTAAAGAAACCTAGTGATTTTTTTTTTCTATATTTAGTTTTTAATGTTTTCAGAAATTTTACAATACTGACTTTTATCTAATTTTGCTAGTCTTTATTGACAGAATTGGTTTCATATTTATAACTTTATTTTGGGATATTATATGGTACATATTCTTTGATCAAATGTGGAATTTAGTATTGATTTATGCTTTGAACTGCATTCTTATTTTAAGAACTGTATCTCATTTGGAGATGGAAGTAGGGAAATTGTTATTTTTGGTGAGATCATAAGGTGATAAAAAGAAACTGAATAACACTACATGATTCCCTTTAATTTTCTCATCTGACCCTTTCTGGACATAGGGAACTCATCTGACTCTGGCTCTTAAACAGACTTCCTAACCCTCAGTCCCCCCACTGTTACATGCAGTGCTTTCTCATCAGGCAGGGAAGTGCATCACACTGCTCTTCGTTCCCATCTTCATTTACATATTCTCCTCTCTGATGTCAACTAAAGATCTTTGAAGACAGACTGTTTAAAAGACAACTACACCCTTCTTACCTCACCTCTCTTCACCACAAGTCCCTGCACTCCTAACCCGCCTTGTTGTATTTGTCTCGTTAGATTTACTGTCATCTGACATCATCTCTGTGCTCTTATATGTTTGTTGTTCCTTGCTGCAGCTCCACACGTGTGAGTGCCTGGCACCCAGCAGGTGCTCAGTAATGCCTCGCCTGGGAAATAAAAAGGTCGATTGTTTTATGTGTTTATCTGATTAACTGACTAAATGTGTCATTTAATAAGGGAAGTGAATAATTGTGTAGCATCGATTATCAAAGAGTTTTGTGCTCTTTTTTCTAAATATTATTAGGTTACTTTCTAGGTAAATTAACTCTGCAGAAAATGTGTATTTGACTTCTTATCAGTTTCTGTAGAAGAAGCAAAAATCTTAGGGCAGGAAAGGAATTTTCCTTCAAAAGAAGTGTTGGGTACTGAAACATCAAATAGACTTCTTTTTCCTGCAAAGAATGGTTCAATATGTAAAACCACTTTCTTTTAGAAGTCCTAAATTAATCATAAAACCGAGTAAAGGCAGATGGAGAGTGATCTATTTTAAGGATTCCATTTTAGTGATTTCTAAGCTAATAGAATTATTTTTTAAAGAAATTGTAATAATTTATAAAATGTCTTCTAGTTGAAATATGTCTTTTGTAGCTTAATTCAATTCTTATAATAGTATGAGGCACCTTAGAGGAAAGAGCATAGTATGTAGGTTTCACTGTCAGCATGTTATAAAGTAAGAAAACATGTAATACGTGAACACATTCTAGTGCCTCTTTACGGTGAAGAACGCAGACTGGAGCGTCAGACTGTGGGTTTGACTTCAGGCTCTAACATATACTGGTTGCACGACTAGTTGTAGTCCAGGCACTAGAGAGAGCTCCGAGCCCTGCTGGTGGCCTCAGGGCCCTGGGGGCCCCCACTCTCCTTGCCCGGGCCCATAGTTCAGATGCTGAGAGGCAGCTACGCAGACAACAGGTGAGCGAGTTTGAGAGTAACTATTCCTCACTTTGCACGTCGGATTGTTATGAGGAGTAAATGAATACCTCATGCTTAATAAGCACTTAATACAATTCTTGAGACAATTAATAAATTAAGTTATTAACTCCATGCCTTGTGCACCTCTGTTAATTAAGGATCAATCAGGAGACTGCTAATCTGGGAAGGGGTGTAGGAGAAAAGTACTGTTCTTTCTTTGGAGCTGTAGAAAATCCCCAGTGCTATGGAAATACTGGGGCTGAGAATGTCTCCTGCGTCTTTTTCCAGATGTTTTATCTAAACGGCGATTCTTTTAAAATAAATAAATAAATAATGGAACTCAGATGCAGCGAACAGACCGGTCATTGCCAGGGGGTGGGATAAAGGTATTCAAAGAGTTCACACTTCCAGTTGTAAGTCCTGGGATACGATGTATAGCATGGTGACTGTAGTTAATAATGTACTGTATTCTATATTGGAAAGTTGCTAAGAGAGTGAACCGTAAAATTTCTCATCACAAGCCCTGGCCAGTGTGGGTCAGTGGTTAGAGCATCAGCCCACACACAGAAGGGTTACAGGTTCAATCCCCAGCCCCAGTCGGACACAGGTGGGAGGCAGCTAGCTGATGTGTCTCTCTCACATCAGTGTTTCCCCCTCTCCCCCTCCTCCTCTCCCTCTCTCCCCGTCCTTCCACTTTCTCTGAAAATCAATGGAAAAAATATCCTCAGGTGAGGATTAACAACAACAAAATGTTCTCATCAAGAAAAAAATGTATAACTGAGGTGATGTTCACTAGACTCATGTTGGTGCGCATTTCTCAATGTATATGTTTCTACAAACCTCAGAGATATTGTGGATTGGGTTCCAGACCACTGCAATAAAGCCAGTGTGTAACAGCGTTGTAATCTTTTTGCTGGTGGAGGGTTTTGCCTTCAATTTGTCAAACAAACAGAAACCTGCCACATTTGTGGAGCACAATAAAGTGAAGTGCAATAAAACAAGGTATGTAGGTATGTGGAATGTTGTACACCTGAAACTAACAATGTCAATTATATCTCAATTTTTAAAAAGTTGAATGCTAAATTAAAAGCTTATTTCTTTAATACTATGCAAATTCTTAGGAGAGAATCAACATATCTCTTATGGCTTTCAAAGTAAAAGGTGAGAAATAAAATCCCCTCCAATTCTCCAAGGGTTAGTTGCTCAGAGGACTTAACTTGGTGGTAAGAGTTCCTCACTTTGGGCTGCTTCAAATGAACTGAATTATAAACTCCACCAGGATTTGCTCTCTGCTTTGTTCTAAACATTCCATATAACAAGAAAAATAACAAAAGGTGGAAGTCTCACTTTGATCTTAAACAATGGGAGGAACATGAACCTTGATACAGATCTATAATTTGGAATAATATATTACAATAAACTCCTGTTAGTTTATTTTTTAATAATTATTGGATGTTGGATCTGCAAAATTTTTTCTGAGTTTATTGAGATAATCATGACTTTTTAAAAAAAATTTGTTAATACCATGAATTATATTGATTTTTCTAATGGTAAACCAATCATCTGTAGAATCTGTAGCGATGATGCCTCTCTCATTCTTGGTATTGGTGATTTGTGTATCGCTTTTTCCTGATCACCAGCTACAGATTGGTCAACTATATTGATCTTAAAAGAAGGTGGGGAGGGGGTACTTTTGGTTTCCCTGATTTTTTTTTTTTTTTTTAATATTCCATAGATTTCTGCTCTGAAATCTTTATATCTTTCCTTCCGCTTGCTCTGGGTTTAATTGGTTCTTCTTTCTATACTTTTTCTGGAGTGGAAGCTGAGGTCATTGATTGAAAGCCTTTCTGTTTTCTTACAGGCATTTATTGCCATCAAGTACCCTCTCAGTACAGCTTTGGCAGAATCCCACACATTCTGATATGTTCTGTTTTCATTTTCATTCTATTTAAAACACTTTCTAATTTTTTTCTTTTAAAATATTTTTTTGAGATACTAGATTTAAAGAC